CCTGTTCATGGCTGCCCCCAGGACGTGTTCCTTATGACCTCCACCTTCACAGACGCCAAGGAGTCGAGCACCATGTTGGAGCTGAAACGCATCGAGGGCATTCGCAGCGGCTGTGCAGGGATGACCAACTTCTGGATGAGAGCAGGACACTGGGCGAGTGTGGCTTCACCGGGCGAACAGCGAGGCCACAGGCCCAGCCACTGTGGGGGTGCCTTCCTCTGCGCATCGAGCCCTTTTCCAGCCTCCAGAGCTGATGCAGGAAGCAGTGCCAGTGAACAAGCGCGCAGTGAGAGGGCCTGGGGCCCGCTCCTCCCGGTGCCCCCCCGCCCAATAAAAGAGATATGGGTGTCTGCCTGGTTGCTGCCTCGTATGCGCACCCTCTCCTGACTCTGGGCATCATCCTCACGGGGTGGGGCTCGCTCCTTGCAAGACTCCTCCCAGCCTCCCCTCTGGCTGCCAGGCTGGCCTGCTGGACCACAGGCTCTCAGTGCTCATCGATCCACCCGCAGCCCAGCCTGCCCCTCAGAGGCCGTGGGGCGGGAGAGAACTCGGAGAACCCAGAGCCCAGGCCAGTCCGTTCAGCCGGCTCCTGCCTCGAGGCGAGAGGTGTGAGGCTTTGTTCATTCCCCATCAATAGTCCCCGTTGCTGCTTCCCCTCCGCCTCCACCTCCCACCTCCGCACACTGGCTTCCAGGCACCTGCCTCTTTCCTGCTCAGAGACCAGAAGCCAAAGTGTCAGCCAGAACCAGCTTGTGGTCCGGAGCGGGCTACGTGAACCCTGTAGTCAGTCACTAGAAGGGGCAGCTCTCCTCCCTGCCTCTCTCCACCCTCTAATAAACAGTCTGTAGACTCAAAAAAAAGAAAAGAAAGAAAGAAAAGAAACGAACCGGCAGCCTGGGAACAACGGTGGGACCTTACCATTACATTTCAGAGGAAAAGAGGTGATTAAAACAGACCGAGTTGGCACATAACCCCCGTGGCTGCACTGTAATTACAAGCTTCGATGATGGGAGAAAATGTTGCAATTGCTCTAGTCACATTCCAGGACAAGGGGATGGCATAATTACTATTCTGGCCGTGACAGCCCCGCATTCGTTCTGTTCTTCGCATCCACACAGAGCGCCTCACACCTATTGCTCAGCAAGCCCCGTCTCTCTAACAATAGGACTTGGGATCCATTACAAGCATCTATGCCGCCTCCGCCCTCCACCCCGGAGAAAACAAAGCAGGATTATAGTGGAGAGCACAGCCAAGTGGCAGCCCCCACGGCGACGGTGTCTTTGACAAGGTCAAACTCAGTGTTCACTCTGCCAGGCCGGCGTGGCTCCGTGGTTGAGCATCGACCTGTGAACCAGGAGGTCACGGTTCGATTCCCGGCCAGGGCACACGCCCGGGTTGCGGGCTCGATCCCCAGTAGGGGGTGTGCAGGAGGCCCCCAACCAATGGTTCTCTCATCATTGATGTTTCTCTCTCTCCCTCGCACCGACCGCGAGTTTGACATGTTTGCTCTAACCACTGTGCAAACCACCTAGGGCTCAATGCTGAATTTCTTGCTTATTGGCA